CAAATATTTTAAAATCGTCGCAACTAACGCTTTTTTCTCGCACCTACTTTATCGTCAAATAAGATTATTTGCGACGACAGTAAAACAATGTCGTCGCAAATAAGGTAAAACTATTTGCGACGATAAATGTCGTCGCAAATAGTCATGACTTGTCGTCGCAAAAAAACAGATTACCTTGGCGCCAATAATCCACGCCATTGAAAATTGCGCGCCAATATTATTTGCGACTACATTGAAATTATTAGCGACGACATGGTTATTTTATTTAACGGTAGGTATTTGCGATGACATGTCGTCGTAAAAAGTGTATTATTTACGATGACAAATGTCGTCGCAAATGGGCATAATTGTTGTAGTGAGTTGTGGTGGTGGTAGATTTTAACATCTAAGAAGAATAGTAGTAGTAGTAGATTTTAACATCTAAGAAGAATACTTGAATTCAATATGTATTTAGTATGTTTGTGCTATAATAACATGGTGAGATATCAGAAATATAATTTATTAAGTTGTTATCACTACTGTATTCTTTTTACATTATACTACCTACATACATATTTGTTATATAAAGTACGATATAGATAAATTTAAGTTTTGTTTTTCTGTCTATAACCAAAAAAAAAAAAAAAAAACAGAAAAGAAATAGAAAAGTATTATTTTAATCGTTCGATACTCTCTCTCATATCACTTAAAAAATTTTGATGTTTTTTGTAAATATATATCGACCTTCTAATAGTTTTTAACGACATCCATATACACATCAACAATCAAGATTAATGATAACTTTTTTGAGTGATTTTGGCAGCCGCAATCGCAGAGAACAAAGCAGAAGTGAACAGGCTGAGGCAACTCCATCATGAGCTGCAACAACACCGCCTGCACAAATATGCAAAGTTTCTGAACTTGGAATTACCTGCTGGAGTATTATTTGAGAAAGTGGCAAATCCAGGTTTGAATGCTGAGCTAGAACAGTACTTTGTACTTCCAAACTCAAACGTCCAAGGTATTTATATACAGCGCATCTAATTGTATCCCAAATTATAATATGATATTATTGGTTTCGGTAATTATTTTTCTAAAAATAAATAAGAGTTTATCTGCAAATATATGGATATAGAAAGGGGAAAAAAAAGAAAATACAGAAAATACAAATCAAGATACCTATAAATGTGATCATATATATGGGTGGTGATTGTCACTTGTGGAGCCGCAAAACAATATTTTTAGGGGGGTATAACTGAAAATTTTTTTCAAAAGAAAAAAAAAAAGAAAAATTCAAGTGTAAAGACTAAAAATTCTAAAAATGAACAAGGCATGGCTCCACCACCGGTGATTGCATCACCCATTCTTTTCTTTCTTTTTTACTAAATACAATTATTAGATACAAATTGAAGAAAAATGTTGGAAGAATGGCTAAAACGGAAAGTAGAAGGTCTAAATAACAAAACAAGTCTACTAGAACTCAATCGATCATTTTGAGGATCGAACAGCACCTACACACACACACACACACACACACACACATATATATATATATATAGTGTATATGTACACACATCGTTCAATAATTATCTACATTTCATTATTTTTATACATGTTTTCTTTTTCTGCAAACAGAAGACGGAGATATTGACGGTATTACCGCAGCTGAAGTGAATGACGTCCTAAACAAAGTCAACATGAAGACAGCAGAAACAAGAAGAAAGTTCACTAGAACAAGCTCTGTACATGGCCTTGGCTGGCAGCTGGGCTAAAGCAGATGATGCCGAACTGGAGGAAAAACCAATGTGGGCCACACCAAAAAGTAATAGTACTGATCCGAAAGCCCAACCGTGGACTGAAGAAGCAGACGCCTAAACAGTATTTTGCTTCATATGAAAGATTTTATGAAGAGTACTATTTAATTTTGCCTTTAGCCTTTTGCTCTACAATCTTTGATGAGTTTCTTTCTGTTTTGTTTAATTTATGGTTAGGACTTGATAAGGGTGGCAATTCGTGTTAGTGTGCCGTGTTCATGTCAACATGTTTATTAATCGTGTCAGAAAACATCAATTCAAACACAACATGTTTATTAAACGTGTCAAAAATGTCAACTCAAACACGACTCATTTATTAATCGTGTTAACCGTGTCAACCCGTTTAAATTAATATATTGAATAAATAACTAATAAAATAATACCTTATTTAATACGGTCAAGACATGTTTAACATATTTATTGATCAATTAATCTTTTCCTTTAAGAAAAATAAATGAATTTTACATGTAAATATTAAAATTCACATTATTTATATTTAATATGTCATATAAACTTTCATGTTATATCACATATCATTAGATTGCAAATGACACATATAGTTAATCGTGTCAATTCGTGTCACTTCGTGTAGAAGGTCAACCCTAACCCACCTCGTTTATTAATCGTGTTAATCGTGTCAACCCGATTATGACCTAAACTAATTTATAGTAAACTCAAACATGCTAACTTCATGTGGATTTTGAATCGTACCGTCGTGTCGCTATCCAGATTGTCAGTCCCAGGTCTTGACATCCTTGTTCTTGATGTTGTTTTTTCATAGGGAAGGTATGCACATTCTTCTATTGACTTGACATCCTTGTTATGAAACATCAGAACTCATATTCCAATTCTTGTAGTGTTACATCAAGACGCCAACTCTTGTTTTTTAGGAACTTTAATTACCGTATTTGCTGTCACTTATCATCAAGCAAAAATGACTTTCCTGTGCCCTTTCGTAGCAGTAGTGATTGGGGACTCGAAGGTGGCAGCCGCTTACCATAAATATTCCTTAAGTATTTGATATATGATTGGTTATTAAAAGTATACACATAAATATACTACTAGGACACCAAAAAGTGAATTGGTGGTGTATTAAAAAGTATACCACTAATTACAAAAAGCAAACCGGTGTACCCCCATTGTATTTCGCCGGAGATGGAGGGAGGAGGTAGGTTTGACCGGAGAGAGAGGAAGAGGTTGCCGGTTGCAAGGTGTTCGTTTGGCCGAAGAGGGAAGGCATTTGTTTGTGTGAAATATGAGGCCATTTTCGTCTTCTCATGAAAAAAATTGTCATAGTCATGTGATGAATTATGTTAAAAACTTAACAAAAATGGACAGAAATTGTTTAATTGTCAACGTTTGAGAATTTATGGATCGTTTTTGCTAAAATCTAAAAAAGAGGGACCAAAGTGTCACTTAATGAATAATTAAGGGATGACCGGTGCAAATTACTCTATCTAAATCTCCCCTATCTTTTTCATCGTAATTCTTAGCCTCCATTTGCTACAATATTTGTAGAGAGATTGAGGGAAATAGGCATGATTAAAAGGGCAATAAAAATAAATAGGCTAACATTTATAATTAGTTAGCAAATAGACCTAGTAGGTGTAGATCCAAATTTACACTAAATTAACATTTCAAAAATGCCCCTAATTGAAAAAGGAAATGAAATCATAAAATTTACTCTGGTTCTCTCTCATCACTCTCTACACTGTAAATTCAAGAGTTATGAATAAACACATATGTGTTTTTATGATAAATCCTAAATTTATTGTGTAAATTCAGGATTTATGAAGGAACAGAATTGTGTTCTTATGGTAAATCATGAATTTATATTGTAAATCTAAGATTTACGAATAACACAATATGTGTTTTGATGGTAATTCCTGGATTTACTAATATAATAAATCTTAAATTTATGAGCAAAACTAAAAACTATTTATTTATTAATATAATCTAGTAACAGTACATCCTAGATTAACTGTATAAATCAAGAATTTACAAACAAACACAATATGTATTTTGATGGTAAATTCTGGATTTACTGTATAAATTCAAGATTTAAGAAGTAATAAAAAATATGTTCTGATGGTAAATCTTAGATTTACACTATAAATCTAATATTTACGAATAACACAATCTGTGTTATGATAAGATTTAATGTACGATAAATCCTAGATTTACGAGTAGAATTAAAAAATGTTTATCTTATATTAGTAAAGTTTTGAATTTATCATGTAAATCGAGAATTTATGAAGGAATAGAAATTATGTTCTCATGGTAAATCTTAGATTTACACTATAAATTTAAGATTTACGAAGAAATATACTTTGTGTTCTGATGGTAAATCTTAAATTTACATATGACCCGTTTAGTTTATAGGTTTGAACAGAAAAACTTGAAGAGAAATTTAAATTTTGTGAGAGAAAACACTAAGTAAAAAGATTTGAACAGTTGTTCAAACTTATAAAATAAATGGGGGCATAATAAATTTTAAATTTACGACTGGCGATAAGAGAGAGAAGAGCCCCACGAATGATAGATTTAGAGAGATGAGAGAAAGAAAATGAGATCTATAGGGAAAGAGAGAAAAATAAAAAAAAATAAAAAAAGAAATAAAAAGAAAATTAGTAAAATTGAAAAATTCAAAATTCAAAACATAAAACGCCTATTAATTACTATATATTGGTAAATTGGTAATTTACTGATATAAGTTTTAAATGTTGGCATATTTTTACAAGTTTCCTTATTTTTATTTTTTAGAAAAAAATTGAAATGTTTTAACTTCTTCATAAGATTTTGTTCTCTCTTTGGGCCACAATTAGTTGGATCCTACATTACGTCCCATATGGAGTGGGAGAAGCCCAAGATCGGATGGGTAGTCCAAACCCATGGCGCCTTACGAGAAAGGCCGATTCAACCAGGTGAGAAAAGTTTGTGCCTAGCTTCTCATCAGATCCGTCTTTAGACATCGACGTATAATCCATACTCAAATGACTGGACAACACGTTATTTTTAAGGTCAATATTTTATTTCGTCGGCTACTATTACGAAAATAACCTCACTTGGCGCCAAACAACAATCTCCCAGTAAGGGGCACTCTCGTAAACTCGTATCGCCGTTTGTTGGCAACATTCGCTGGGTAGTCACCGTTAGGACACGTCGCCAAAGTCTTACGCTTCCAAAACCCCAACAAAACAGAATTAGAGAGAGAGAGAGAGAGAGAGGAGAAAAGAAACTCAGAACAGTTCTCTGTAGTTTCTACTTTGGCAATGGTACGAACAAAAGAACCGCCATTGCTAAAGTACCAGACGAAACTCAAACCCTAGAAATTATTTCTAGGGCTTAACTCGGGAACAACACAAGTGTTCATGAATTCCTTGTTTAGCTTCGCTTTTCCTTGGAGCGTTTCAGTTGGATTCGTGTTTGGCTGCCGAGAAATTTCAGCAAATTGTTAATAGGAAAAACTTTGAACGCTTTAATGGCGGTTTTGCTCCGGAACGCTCTACCTAACGCCACTCTTTGACTAATTCTGAGACGTGAGTTCCATTTTTTTATTCCTCATGTTTTTTCTTTAATTGTTGTTGTTGTTGAATTGGAACGCGTGAAACGTAAAGATTCCATACTTTGTTTTCTTTTTCTCTCGATTTTCTCGGCGGCCAAACAAACGCAGTCGGAGTTTACTTCCTTTTTCCGTGAGTCAAAAAAATTCTCTTGGTATTGGATTTAAGTAGAAATGGCCTCTGCTCAAGGGTTTACTCCGTTGACCGAATTGGGTTTCCCTTCTTCTTCTTCTTCTTCTTCTTCATCTTCGTCTAATTCGCTTCACCGGAATCGGATTTTCCTCTGCCGAATGGACGAGAATCTCTGGGGAAGAACTTCTGCCAAATTCTGCCCCGTAATTTGCTGCAAACAGCAGAATCCAAACTTCATCGCGCCCAAACCGAGTAAGCTCCGTGAGTTTAGGCTATTCACATCGGTCGAATTGGACCAGTTTCTCACCAGCGACGACGAGGAGGAAATGGGCGAGGGCTTCTTCGAGGCGATCGAGGAATTGGAGCGGATGACGAGGGAACCGTCCGATGTTCTGGAAGAAATGAACGACCGTTTGTCGGCGAGGGAGCTTCAGCTCGTGCTCGTGTACTTTTCCCAGGAAGGAAGGGACTCGTGGTGTGCGCTTGAAGTGTTCGAGTGGCTTCGAAAGGAGAATCGGGTCGATAAGGAGACAATGGAGCTTATGGTGACGTTAATGTGTAGTTGGGTTAAGAAGCTGATTGAAGGAGAACATGATGTTGGGGACGTGGTTGACCTTCTTGTGGACATGGCTTGTGTGGGTTTGAGGCCGGGTTTTAGCATGATGGAGAACGTGATCTTACTTTACTGGGAAATGGGTGAGAAGGGCAGAGCGGTTTCGTTTGTGAAAGAGGTTTTGAGACGCGGGATTGCTTGTTTGGAGGACGATGGAGAGGGACCTAAGGGAGGGCCTACTGGGTATCTTGCTTGGAAAATGATGGTAAGAATTTCTATTTTATTTTATCTTTTTTGTGTTTCTCATTGCCTTGGTATTCAAATTCATGTTTGTTCTTGTGTATCTTTTGGTGGAAACGAGTGAATTGGCGAGTCAAGAGCGCTGATGAACTACCTAGTTATTCAAACAAGTGAATTTTGCTGGGGCGTTTCGCTAGTTTTGCAATGCCACTCGCTATTTCATATTTTCTTGGATGGTTTTGGATGTTGGTATTCATTAATTTTGCAATGCCACTTTTTTGTTCATATTTTCTTGGATGGTTTTGGATATTGGTATTCGAATTTGTTAGCTGTTTTTGACTTGTTTTTTTAAATTGAAATAGCGGGAATGTCCAATTGTATTGAAACTTGGCTCTTTCGGTTAGAGAAAAGTTTCTGATTGAACTAAACAGTCAGCATAGTTACTGGATGATACCATCTGGGTTTCCTCTGCTGGTTGTTCGTTAGGGATAAGCCCTCAAAGAAATTGTTAATATTAATTTATTGTTATAACCAAAGGAGAGGTAGAAGGAAATATAATTTTGTTCAGGAAAATGACATTTAGTCGTTTGACAAATGAATTTTCAAAATTTTCTAAATACTTGGCTTATTTAGTTTGTGTGAGTAAAATATTAAATGTATTTTATCAGGTTGAAGGTAACTATATGGAGGCAGTGAAGTTGGTTGTTGATATAAGAGAATCTGGGTTGAAGCCAGAGGTTTACAGCTACCTTATTGCCATGACAGCTGTGGTTAAAGAGCTCAATGAATTTGCAAAGGCTTTACGCAAGTTGAAAGGTTTTGAAAGGGCTGGGTTGACGGCTGAACTTGACGAAGAAAGTGTTGAGCTGATTGAGAAGTATCAATCAGATCTTCTAGATGATGGAGTACGCTTGTCCAATTGGGTAATTGAAGAGGGAATAACTTCACTCAATGGGGTGGTTCATGAGAGGCTCCTTGCCATGTATATTTGCGCCGGCCGTGGAATAGAGGCTGAAAGGCAGTTGTGGAAAATGAAGCTCGTAGGCAAGGAGGCCGATGGAGACCTTTATGACATTGTTTTAGCCATCTGTGCCTCCCAAAAGGAAGGCCGTGCTATTGCACGGTTGCTTACTAGGGTAAATTTTAGCAGCACTCTGCGTAAGAGGAAAAGCTTATCATGGTTGTTAAGAGGTTACATTAAAGGGGGGCATTTTGATAATGCTGCAGAAACAGTGGTTAAAATGCTTGATTTAGGTCTGTGTCCTGAGTATTTGGACCGGGCAGCTGTGCTGCAGGGGCTTCGAAAGAGGATCAAAGGACCTGATACTGTAGAAACTTATCTCAAGCTCTGCAAGCACCTTTCGGACTACAATTTGATTGGACCTTGTCTTATATACCTGTATATAAAGAAATATAAGCTTTGGATCATGAAAATGCTCTGAAGATCATTGGTTCGGTAAGACCAACTTTGTTTTAAAAAGTATAGTTGGGTAGTTTATGATATATAGTGGCTGAAACACCTAAATTTCAGGTGCTTTACATACGTTGATTTTGTATAGCTTTGTATTATGCCTTTGAGCAGCACAGTTGGTTGAGGTCCTGATCCTTGGAAGATCAACTGTGTTATTCAGAGGTCTTGTAATTTGTATTTGTGGTGGCTGCTTTAAAACCTGTAATTATGTTTCTACAAGATGTAATTCATAAAAGTCGTATACATCTTCTATGTAAAGTTTCATGGTGTTCTGAACTTTCTTCCTTCATACTTGAGTCCTTTTTTGTGTTTGAATTTTCCTAAGAGGGCCCTTGTTTGTCTTTGTTTGTACACTTTTTTCCTTTGTTATGAATTATGATGAACTTGATTTGCGTATCCACGTATCACACTGCTATTTTCAGTATTGATGGCGACTTTCTAATGCGGGAGGAAAGGTGCGTCTCTGTGATGTAAATTGTTGCTTTTATAATTGCTAGTAATAGTGGTACTTTCATTTTTAAAAAAAAAAAAAAGTAATAGTGGTACTTTCTTTCTACTCATTCGTAAAGCCATTCAACAGCTTTTATTATTATTATTATTTTTTCCTTTGCCCTTTATTATTATTATTATTATTATTATTATTATTATATTTCTGAATACCATTCCTATCCATTTTTCATATGCTACTCATTCGTAAATGTTAAAGCCTCGTATTCTTCTGAATCCTTTTGGATTATAGTACCATTAATCATATAAGTGCCTTTTTTTTTCCTCTTTTTTTTAGGGAAAAAAAGACTGGATCAGGATCAGAAACTTTTTTTTATTTATTATTTTTAAGAAACTGTCGGTTCTGTGCATTAGATCATTATCATAAGATCACAAATGCGTTGGCATGAACTATATTTTAATGTTGGAGCATATCATCTGGGCGTGCATTATTGGAGCTTTTATTTCTTCTCCTTATTGAGACTCTCACCTAAATGGCTGATTATTTGCCCGACTCTCTGAATCAAGGAATCTTGAAGTGGGTTCCATCTAACTTCCCCAGTATATTATTTGATGTGCTATGTGACCTTTTATTTAATTATTATTTTTTATTTTTGCTGAAATGTGCTATGTGACCTTAATAATTATTATGTGCTCTGTAATGTGGTCGTTATAAAAATCAATAGCTGACATGAATTAATCTTCTTTTATCTCTATCCGTAAAGATGTCCAATGCATTAAAATTCTCTTGAAGCAATCTATTTCAAAGCTCGTTTTCATTCATTTCTCAGCCACGCCTTCATGTTTGACCTAATTGCATTGAACATGGGCAGAGATAAGAATTACCCAGTATAGTTAAAATTTTATGCATGGCTTCCACAACTCCTTTCACATAATTTTCTCTCTCTCTTCTTTCCTTTTCTGATAATAACTTTTCACAGAATTTATGTTGAGCATCCTTTTCGGTTTTCGTGCATAGATTTGATCAAAACCATGATTAACAAGTCCCTTGGTTGTTTGTTCCTGTTGCTGCAAAATTGACCTTTTGTGTGGAAACAAAAACGCTTCAGAATTTTCACATGGGTCATTTGCATGTTTATCACATTTTTTGGCTCTTTGCAACTGTGTCCTGATTTGGCATATATTCTCCTCTCTCTCTCTCTCGCCATAGTTTAAGTTTATAAAGATAAGGTCATATTGGGCTGCAAGTTGTTACAATTGTCTATAGACATCCTGGAAATTTTATCCTTTCTTAATGATTTATGTCTTTAAATTTTTTTAATTTTTTAATCTTGAATAAATAATTCGTCAGCCAACTGGGAGTAGAAGCTGCAAGTGGAAGGAAAGACCTCCGTTATGTATCTCATCCATTATGAATTATTAAAATGGGTGCTTAGATCTAATGCTTTCTTAATTCTCTCTCAAGTTCCTTGCTTCCTTTATTTACAGAATAATAATTTGCTCTTTGTTTGGTCATATTCAATGCATATTTAACTTTTAGCTTGATGTCTGATATACGCAAAATCATATAACTAGTTTTATGTGATCTGAGTCATCTGACGGTGCTTATTGTATTTTGATTTTTAACCACTTTGCCAAACTTACATCATGATCTACAACCAAGCTTTATTAACCTTTAATTGGAAGTTATAATATTTTTCTTTTAATTTCTCATTTCCTTTTTATTTGGTGATTTGCTGTCCACATACGATTGCTGAATCCAAGCTTAATCGATCCTTAAAAATCATAACTACCCAATGTAATTCGTAGAATCATTTTGCTCATTGCTTATCCAAGGGCAAGAAGTCCTCAAAACTTTCAAACACTCAGATAATTGCAGTCTCATGGTAAAATGTTCAAGCGCGGCAAAAAAATTAATGATTATAACCTTTTTCCTCCTTTTCTTCGCAAAAAACAAAAAAACAAAGACCTCTTTCCTTTTTCTTTTATTTTTTTCTCAGGAAAAAACAATTATTTAACTTTTAAAAGTATTCGGGGTTGTTCTTTTATATTTTTAAATTAAAATGATTTGTGTGATGATCTAAAGTTGAGTTTGAGTTAAAATTGTAACTTGAGTTTGTGTTTGGATGTGCACATTTGAGTTATAATTTAAATTGAGAATCTATTTGAGTTTGTGTTTGGATGTGTCAAAACTTAAATTTATATTTAAACAATATTTTAATAAAAACTCAATTGTAATGAAAAATTTTAATAGGGTATATGAGTAGAGTTTTATTCTTCTTTTCGTTGTGACTGCATAGAAAAAAAACCATCTCAATCAGAATTAAAACGAAAAAGTTATGACACTTTTAAGAATAGAAAAAATATTATTCATTAACTTGAGTTCGAGTTTATGAACTCGAGTTGAAGGAGAAATTTAAACTCGAGTTTAGCTCTAAACTTGAGTTCAAACTCGAGTTTAAACTCAAATTTTACAAAAGAACATGAACTTAATAAAATTATAACTCGAGTTCAAATTTTTTTTGAATTTCGTTAAAAAAAACAACCTCTTCAATTCATAGATTGAAGGGTAGGCTAGGTGTCGATAAGACCCATGGACTTATTTTTAGAAGACTTCTTCACAACCTTATTCCATGCTTATACCTTTGCTTGACATGTAATTCCACCTTATTCTTCCTTTGTATTATAAGCTTTGGTTGATTTTAGAGCAGTTAAAAGAATATCCAAATACAGGAGAATAGAAAAGAGATTTTGAGGGTGTTTATTTCACAATTTAAATTCTTAATTTGAATTATATTTGTGAGAAAAAAATAAAATTTAAAATTTTATAAAAAAATATTATAATAATAAAATTTAAATTATAATTTGAGTTATGAAAAAAATAACATTTTTCTTAGCAAAAGAAAAACCTTTTTTTCTTTGAGGAAACATCACCACCATGCAACCAGTTGACCAACTCCTTAAGTGGGACCTTCTTCCCAATCCACCATGACGTGGCACAAATGGAGTGGTTCATGCATCATGATAGTGGGTGCGCAACAGTGGAACTGAACTCCTTTCTTTGTCTATAACCACCCCCCCCCAAAAAAAAAAAAAAACCTCATCAGTCAACACCATGAACTTTGGAGCTAGCCACCTAATCTACACTATAGCTTCCGGTTACCAAAACAACCATTCAATCCCAACACATACATAACACAGCGCTTTGCTTTAAGCCTCAAAATAATCTATCATCCATAAACATGATAGAAAAAAGAAACCTTAAAAAAATTTCCGTTCTCTTTTCTCTTTCACGAGGAAAGCTCAAGATCATGCTCATTCATAAGTCAGCAAAAACTCCATTACAATCCACAACAAAACTAGCGAAAACCACTCTTTAAATTGAACTCACTTATATGCAAAACCAAAAAAATCTGCCGACCAAGAAATGCGTGGCCTTAAGCTGATAGACCGCTTCAAGAGCGCCCAAGTCCACGCCTTTAGTCCTCCAGATACCTCAAGAGCCAAGCTCGTCGACACCCATTTCACCAAAATCATATCTTTCGCTTCAAACTTAAAGCCCAACAAGACCAACTTCACCGCCTCCGAAGCGCTTCTCCTCCCTTATGGATTCCCTACGACCGACCTCCTCGAACCCCACCTGGACCCTCACCTCAAACCCCTCGATTTTGTCGACTCCTTGGCTGACCTCTATCAACGGTTCGAGAACTGCTCATCGGAATCTCAGAAGGCGGCTCTGTTTGTTGAACAGCACGCGCTGTTGCGCAGCCTGGGAGACCCCAAGCTGCTAAGAAGATGTCTCCGCGCCACGCGCCAGCACGCGGTGGATGTTCAGTCCAAGGTTGTGGCGTCGGCGTGGCTGAGGTTCGAGAGGAGAGAGGACGAGCTTGTCGGTTTGTCGGACATGGAGTGTGGTGGGTTTGTTCTTGAGTGTCCCAAGGCTGCTTTGGCTAATGGGTCTGATCCAAATTCAGTTTTTGATTGTTGTAAATGCGGTTTTGGAGTTGGAAGTGGTCCTTTTGAAGCAATAAATGTTGAAGAGGAGGAGTTTTTGGAGATGGGAAATGAAAGTGATGTGTCGTTTTGTGTTGGTAATGAGGAGATTAAATGCGGTAGATTTAGGATTGCAAGGCTTTCTAGTCCGTTTAAGGCCATGTTGTATGGTGGTTTTGAGGAGTCTAAAAAGGGGAGGATTGATTTTTCCCAAAATGGGATATCTGTTGAGGGAATGAGAGCTGTGGAAGAGTATAGTAGTACTAAAAGGTTGGATTTGTTTAGTCCAAGGAGTGTTTTGGAGCTTCTTTCTTTCGCGAATCGGTTCTGTTGTGAGGAGATGAAATCCGCTTGTGATGCTCACTTGGCTTCACTTGTTGGTACTATTGAGGATGCTTTGATTCTTGTTGAGTATGGTTTGGAGGAGAGGGCAAATCTTCTTGTGGCTTCTTGCTTGCAGGTTTTGCTGAGGAAGCTCCCGGGTTGTCTTTATAGACCGAAGGTTATGAAGTTCCTGTGTAGCTCCGAGACTAGGGAGAGATTAGCCATGTTGGGCAATGCTAATTCCTTCTTGTTGTACTATTTCCTTAGCCAGGTGGCTATGGAGGAAAGCATGGTGGCCAAAATGACTGTCAAGTTGTTGAAGAGATTAGGGGAATGTGCGACCGAGAGGTGGCAGAAGGCGCTTGCCTCGCACCAATTGGGCTGCGTTCTGCTCGAGAGAAGAGAGTTTATTGCGGCACAGTGTTATTTCGAGGCTGCTGTTGAGGCAGGGCATGTTTATTCCATGGCTGGTATTGCAAGAGCTAAATACAAGATCGGACAGCAGTATTCTGCTTATAAGTTGATGAGTTCTGTCATTTCGGAGTACAAACAAGCCGGGTGGATGTACCAGGAACGATCTCTCTATAACATTGGCAAGGAGAAGATTTCGGATTTGAGCATTGCCACCGAAATGGACCCAACTCTTTCCTTTCCATACAAGCATAGAGCTGTTGCGAAGATGGAAGAGAAGCAAATTAGGGACGCCATTTTGGAGATTGACAAGATAATTGGGTTCAAGCTCTCACCTGACTGTCTTGAATCGAGGGCTTGGTTCTTTATAGCGCTTGAAGATTACGAAAATGCGATGAGAGATATTCGTGTGGTACTGACTTTGGAACCAAACTACATGATGTTTGGTGGGAAGGTTAGAGGTGATTACTTGGTTGAGGTTCTCGGCCGTATGGTTAGGCAATTGAGTCAAGCTGATTGCTGGATGTGCCTTTATGAGAGATGGTCTTCTGTTGATGATATTGGCTCTCTGGCTATCATCCATCAGATGCTAGAAAGTGACCCTGCAAATAGTGTACTGCGGTTTAGACAATCGCTACTTCTACTACGGTAATTTTGTATTCTAGAGATAGATATATCTCTGTGTGTTAATTAACTACATCTTTTCTGTCTTGTGCCATGGTATTTATCCTCATTCTTCTTGCCTCATTGCATAAGTTACTTTCTTTAATCCTTTCTCTAATTACTGTTTCTGGAATTTCTGTGAAACCATCTCGTGTCAATTATCACATTATGTAATTAGTATAATAAATATGCTCTTTTCCTCGGCGAATTAAAAATTCGGAAATCGTATTTAATCATGTCCTAGTATCGGCATGTCTATATGTTGTTGTGAGATGACTGATTCCAATAAATATGGTTGTTTCAGGTTAAACTGTCAGAGAGCTGCAATGCGTAGTTTGCGGTTGGCCAGAAATCATTCCACTTCTGAGTATGAAAGGCTGGTCTATGAAGGATGGATCTTATACGACACTGGAAATCGTGAAGAAGCTCTCTCAAGGGCTGAGAGATCTATCGTTATCCAGAGGTCATTCGAAGCCTTTTTCCTCAAGGCATATGTATTGGCAGATACAAATCTGAATCCTGAATCTTCGTCCTGTGTCATTCAACTGCTGGAGGAAGCTCTCAAATGTCCCTCGGATGGTCTTAGAAAAGGGCAGGTGGGTGTTTCACTCGCTTTGCTGTATGGTATTTTGTCTTGATGTACTTGTTTCCTAGTAACATTGTGATAAATATTGCAGGCGCTAAATAATCTAGGTAGTATTTATGTGGATTGTGGTAATCTAGATGGGGCTGCAAACTGCTATAAGAATGCCCTTGACATCAAGCATACAAGAGCTCATCAAGGGTTAGCACGCGTATACCATTTGAGAAATCAACGGAAAGTGGCACACGAGGAGATGACCAAGCTTATAGGAAGGGCACAAAACAATGCATCAGCTTATGAGAAACGGTCTGAATACTGCGATCGTGAGATGGCAAAGGACGACCTTGATATGGCAACAAAACTAGATCCGCTAAGAACCTACCCTTACAGATATAGGGCAGCTGGTAATTAGATGACCCTCGACTGTTTTTGTTCTATGCAGTGCATTTCATTTTGATCACTTACTTTTCGCTTTTATTTATTAATATGTACCGACTTGCATATCATCAGTTCTGATGGATGACCAGAAAGATAATGAAGCAGTAGAGGAGCTCACAAAGCCCCTAAATTTCAGGCTCGACTTGCAAATGCTTCATCTTCGAGCTGCGTTTTACGATTCCATGGGAGACGTGACCTCCGCTCTCCGAGATTGTCAAGCAGCTCTCTGCTTGGACCCCAACCACACAGACACTCTTGATCTTTATAACCGAGCGCACAATCTAGCTACTCATAAGTAACTTGTGTCATTCACTTTGCGCGAGTATTGGCATCATATTGTGGAAGATGTTATTCTCAGTCGTGAGGAATACAACCACAGGGTGTTTAAGGTATGTCACAAGAACATTTCCCAGAAATCAAAGTTCTGCACAAGTAGCTGGCTTCAAACTTGCCTGGCAGCAAAGAAGAAATGCGTTGTGGAAGAACGAGGAGCAAAAAGATGATCCGAGAAAATGCAATTGTTGGATGGATGTTGATGGTCGGAGAGTGAGCTCCAAGCCACCTTTCGAACGACTTTAATGAAGATTGTTATGCAAGAAATGACCAATGAAAACTTATGTTCAGGAGCATGGGTTGAAGATAGGATTATGTTGTTGACTTTCACCTTAGCACTTTGAAAATCTGTAGAAGCGTCGCTTTGCGTGCCCTGTTAAAAGATTGAGCTCAGATTCAGTTTCTCTTGTACATAAAAGAAGCATTAGAAATATTCGGAATCTCAAGTTTGTTGCAAAGTTGTGTGTAAAAGGTAAAGCCTTTTCATAGAAAAGGGAGGGCGAATGTCGCTATTTGACGTTTCCTAAAACTCTAACCCTTTTACTTGCGCCACAAAATTGAAAGCACATGGGTTTTGTAATAAATAAAGTAGTCTTATTATCATCTTATTCTTCCATGATCAAATGATTTTGTTTGTTCGCCTCTTTTTACAATAAGAAAGGTTTCCCTTCATTTGTTCTTAAAGAAAAAGTTAAAGCTTCTAAAGGAAATGGCTAAAATATATATATATATATATATATCATTTATTCATCACAAAATCATATTGCAAACAGTAAGTTTAACCTTCACACAGCCGAAAAGGCTGGGGTTGTGGGAGAGATGAAAAGCTCATCTCTCCCTTTTCTCGACTATATACAAAAATATCATTTCCTATACCAAATATTAGTATAGATACAAGCATATTCACCCATACCATGGTTAACATAACCAATACAGAATCAGATAAGATACTTGCAGAGAAATAATAACAAAGTAAAAGAATAAACATAATCACATAAAAAAAATGAATTAGGATTTGACGCTAAGCCTCCTCTTAACTTCCTTCTGAGGACATAATTTCAAGCTCTGCCCACCAAAGAGGAGATAACTTTGGTGTTGCACCATCAGGCCCCATATCTGTTATCTCCTTCAACCTTGATGTGATCTCTGCAATTGTTGGTCTCTGTTTCGGGTTAGGGTGGACACAATCTTTTATCACTTTAACCAATTTTTCAAGCTCTTCTTCCTCGAAAAACTTCAAGGTTGGATCCACCATTTCTCTTAAAGAATGCTCGGCCTTCAAATAATCCAACGCCCAATCCGCAAGAGAGCGGTTGTCTGTGGAGTACGGAATGCTACCCGTTATCATCTCAAACAAGATCACCCCAAAGCTATAAACATTGCTTTCTAGATCTGGTGGTGGGATTTCCAAGAGCTCCTTGGCAGCTGATTGCATCTTTTCTGCAGTCACTTCATTCCAAAGCCTGAAATCTGATATTTTGGTTGCATAGTCTTCAGTCAAATATACACTGGAAGAATGCAAGTCCCCATGGACTATAGGAGGAGTTAGTTGGTGCATATGCTCCAGGCAGTATGCCATGCCCATAGCTATACGTAATCTCATTCCCCAGTCCAAGTGCTCTGCTTCTTTTACTGCAAATATAGAATTTCATCACCATCAACGCCACGGACCACAATAAAAGATAAAATTAAACAAAAAAGTTACAACACTACGTTACTCACTATGTAGATGCTCAAAGAGCGTTCCATTTGGCGCATACTCGAAAACCATGATCCTTGTGAATGGTTCTTCTTCCTCACAAAAGCCAATAAGGTTCACAAAATTCTTGTGGTTCACTTTAGAGAGTTCTTCTATCTGAAGGAAAAAAAAAATGCATTGGTAATAAGATTTAGTTTTAGAAGATGATATTAAATGTGTAAATGCTGATGAAAATTAGTGCTATATACCTTCTTTCTGAACTGCTCTTCCGAACTTTTTGACCAGTCTTTACGAGATATTGCTGCACTAGATGTCACAGCTATTTCAACCCCACTTGATAGAGTTCCCTTATACACGGTGCCATCTGAGAAGGAGCCAATTATATTACTGAAATCTTCACAAGCTGCTACGATTTCCGGTCGATTGAGTTTTGGTACACCTGAAATGGAGATCACAAGTATGAGTGCTTAGAATTCTTACATGGAAATGAAGCACATTTTATTCTTCAAAAAGGACAAATTATGACCTTAAAGGCAACAGTTAGATAAGAGAAATGCAACAAAATTCAGTAGAAAATGGTTCAACCAAAGGATCAAGAAATTAGGTAAATGTATGATCAATATTAAACAGTGGGAAATTAGTCAAAATATGTGGAACATTTGGTATGCTGCTTTTTCTCTTAGGCTCTTAAAGATATCTCAGATTTGCAAGCAATATAAGCGTAATGGATGATATTGTGGTCCTCCATTACAATTATAACAAAAATTCTATTGGAAATTATACATCTCAGTTATCCAAAGAAAGAAGAATGACCTGTTACAAATGCTTTCTGCAGCTGCCCACTTAACCCTGTGGCCCACGGTCTAACAGTAACGACTTTGTTGCTTCGGAAGAAAACAACACCAAGAGCTGCAATTAGAATGAAGAAGGCACCACCAACAGATCCAGCCAAAATCAGCATTAGATGGTTTTCTTTCTTGGAACCCTTTGGAGTTAAAGCAGGGGAAGGTGATGAAATAGAATGTGTTGGTTCGGGGATAGCAACTGATGGCTTTGCTGCACGTGGAGGGTCTGTAATTGGTTTTGACAAAGGCAAGGGTGAAGAAGTTAAAAAGCCACCAGAGGGAGACTCCGATGGGGATGATATTGGTGACACAAATGGTGATGGAGACGGTGAAGGAGAATTTGACAACGGTGATGGTGAGAGTGGTGAATCTGAGGGTGACACCGAAGCTGAAAAGGGATTGCGTAATTTTGGTATTCCATCCCTTTGTTTGCCTTTAACCTGTTTGACTTTGGCTGGCTTTAGGAATTTTGGAAACTGCAGCAGCCTTCTGTAAGCCACATTTCCAGGTTCAGCAGTGTTCCTAACAAGGGAAAATAGTCAGGATACTTTCTAGGCAGTGAAATGATATTCAACTTCGACTGATGAAACTAAACCATTAACAAAAGTTATTTTCAGAAGAAAATTTAAGAAATGTTAAACAATACGGAGCTTGTTCAGCTTGTCTTTCAAAAACATGGTGCTAATTATTAAGTTATTAGTTAGACAGAATTAATTTCCAACATTGCGACAGGAGAAGATTGCTTTCTACTTTTGAAACCGCTTCTTTCTTTCCCCCTCTTGGTTCAGTGAATATCTCTCGGATTCACGAGTAGAAGTTCCAATCCTAACTGAAATCTCAGTCACTGAATTTGCAAAAAGCCGGAGCTGACATTCTTCCTGTGCAGGCTAATATTGATATTAAGTTTTTTCCAGTTTCACAGTAGATAAAATTTCATGGAGGGTTAGAAGTAAGATGCAACAACTATACATTATCATTAAATATCTGAGCCAAGATAGGTTCGTTACTTTCACAAATTACAGCATCAAAGAGCACCTTGGTCCCCCAGTTCTTTCCAAATCTTAGATCTAAGTTGTGCAAAATATTTATCATATTCACTCCACTAGCTTACCAAACGTTCGATCTGCTTCCATGATATGTCGTCGACACAACATCTTTTAGCTGCTTCTCATCTCCTTGAAATTCAGGATACACCTTAGGCTCGTAGACATCATAAGAAGTGGTATCGAGGAACCTATTGTTGTCGAGCAAACTGCAGAAAGAATCAAGATTCTTCAATTGGCAGAAGCTCATTAAAAATTACCTTCACGAATACACGCAGCCTGAAAGAATCAAAATTATTTACAGGGTACTCAGGGATGGATTATTGCTTAAGCCAAAGGGAAATAATCCACTGAAGTTATTGTAGCCCAGGTCCAGAGCCTCCAGCTCCTTCAACTCTCCTATTTCCGTCGGAATATTCCCAGAAAACGAATTATTTCGTAAAATGCTGCGACACAAAAGCAGCAGATTCAGAGAAAAGAGAATAATATATTTTATTTTTTTTACGTAAAAAATAAATATTAAAACATAGGAACGTTTTGTTTAAGACTTTAGAAAGTCTAGTATATGCTTACATAGATTTTATGTGAACCAGCTTCCCCAGCTCAGGTGCCAATGTTCCTTCAAGGTAAAGATCCTTCAAATTCCTACAAGATTGTCAAATCTGCCTTCAGAGTTGCATTGTAAAGCAAATTGAACGAAAAAGGCAAAAACTTTCTCCTTCTACAATTCACCATAATCCTAGGTTTCAAAGTTTAGATCCGGATTAAAAATCCTAAAATTCAAAACATATACAACTAGGCAAGGGAATATGTTTTAGATTTTTAAATAATAATAATAATAAAATAATACCAATTTTAATAGAAAATCACATTCAAGTTTATGTATAGAAGCTAAAACAAAGTTTATCCACAATTCTCCAAATTGGAAAATGAATTACCACAATATTGGCATGAATCTTTCAATGCATTGTTTAATTTGAGCTTTTAAAGTAGTTTTTTTTTTTTTTTTTTCCTTCGAAATCACTCACAAGGCAACAACTTTTCCGCCGGAGCACTCGACACCAAACCACGAGCAGACGTCGTTCTTGGCGCCAACTCTGTTCCAGTTCGACAAGGCCCCGAACGGGTCGCCGACCACCCTATCCCGGAACTTCAACAACGCTAAACCTGCTTCCAAACAGACATTATTAATATATATATACATACATATATATTCAGCAGCCAGCATTATTAGCTTGACGAGCAGTACGGACATTCAGAGGTAAAGCAAACCTTCAATGTTGAGAGACAAACAGAAGCTTGAATTCTGGTGGAGCAGCAGCAGCGAGACCATCATCATCATCATCGGCATCAGGTGCTCCAGGCGATCAAATCTCCATCGTCCGATCATTGCTCCGCCAATCATTGATCAAATCGAAAAACTATCTCCGAACCGACACTTTTATGAGAGAAAAGAGAAGTCTCAAGTCAGTCGTTTGGAGTTTTTGGCAAGCTAAGTTTGAACGACGGAAGAAGAAAGCGCGTGAGTAATGAGTATAGTAGAAAAGCGGTGGTTAATTTTTTATTATTTTTTAATTTTTGTAAACAACTGGTAGTGGAAGAATGCTGAGAGCGGAACGTACCAATTCAGCTAG